AGCTGAGCATTACAGAGTGACTAGATTAAAGTTTAGCCGTCTACTGTGCCTAACACATCCATTAAAAGCAGTTTGTCCTTTGAACTATCTGACCTTATCTTGCATTAGAGGTATGAAAGAATGCCTGTAGGGTGGCCTCTACCCATTTATATAAGAGCAATTTGAATGACTGCTCAGTATTATTTCCCATAAAGTAGGTCACTGTGTAACTACCATACATCCAACTCTATCATCTGTCACATCTTTTACGGTTTATTTAGGAAGCAAGGGATGGAATCCCAGCAAGATGGAACACAAGCCACCATCTGGTGAGGTATTAACTGCAAATTGAGTGGACTCCAATTCAGGAAATAAATCACAGCAGACAATAGAAGCAGCAAACCAAATAGTTTAAACTTGTCCTCCTAGAACAATTGCAAGCTATAATGGCTGAACACATGCTTTATAAAGCACAAAACACCACTTCATGAAGAAGAAAATATGAGAAAACTTGGTTTTGAAAGAATATACAGTAAAACTATCTGTTCATGCAGAGAAGCATCAGATGCTAGTCTGAATTTCTGTAAGCAAAGGACATAGAATCATTCCTGTATAAACAACTGCATCTGCTGTAAAGTAAAATATTCTTGCACTGAATAGTATGTCAGCACTTTGAAGCAGCATCAACAGTTATTTATTATCTCTGTTCTCAGTTCTACCTTTTGCAGCAGTCTCACTCATTCCTTAGCTACACTATCTACCTTCTAAACCAGGACTGTGGTAAAGATACATCTGATAACAAACTGTACTTTGGCTTGCACAGGAAGGCAAATTTTCTAAAACCCAAGCATGGTGTTTGGACCTACTATATATTTGTGTAAGGATTACATGGGCAGAAGAAGAATACTTGGTTATTTTATGAGAACTAATTGCTTGCTTGCTGCTACAAGAAAGCCCTCTTCCAGGTATCATTTCATTTTTGCATACGCCAACTAAAATACTGATGCTATGGTAAAAGTCATGTTCGATAATACGATGGACAGCAGCTGGCAACTTACCACCAGTGAGCTGTCTGCTTAGGACCTAGCTGTAGGCAGTATTTTCAGTGTTCAGAACACAGTAGGATTCAGTGATCACATTTTATCTTCCTGTTAGTCAGTTTGCCACAATATTTGTCCTGCATAACACAGTTGGAGGGCTTTTCACCTGTATCACTAAGAACAGGTAGAAAATAAGAAATTGGCACATGTGAAGTCTTATATCATTCAATAGCTAAGTTTAAGATGTGACCATTAAACTACCTACCAAAATGTACAGCTGCATGTTCTTAGATTTGTAAAAACAAAACAAAACATTGCGCTGTGTATCAGAAAAGATGAAATATATCATTTTCTATTTAGGGACTTACTACTCCTTTCAGAAGTTGCTATATTCTCTTACTTGAAAATTTCATGTATTTCGATATTACACAATTCTTTATATCCAGACTATCTGACTTCTCAGTTTTCTCCTATCACTGGTTACAGGCATTCCTCACTAGTATTATATTTGGCAGTGCAGCGGATTGTAAAACCTCATTTTAGGCAAAATCCAGTAGTTTTCTTTATTTAAAACACTCTTATAATAACACTCACAGATTCTTACAGGGCTGCTATGCAGCAGAATTTCAATAAGCCTTCCTGATATTCTTCCATGTTGCATGTTAAATAAAAGCATTAAGTATCTTGCTTATAGAGTCCATTTTCAACAGTGAACAAGATATTGCATAGACAAGTGGCACATTTATCTCACTAGTTCACTGTGGTGTAAGTCATGTTCTGCTCCCATTTGTTATTTTCTGCGTACACTCTTCTGTATTTAATTCCTTTACCATTAGCAAGTTACTAGAAAGTTAATGTTACAAGGTAGCTACTAACACTTCCTCTTCACTCTACTAGAAGAGACCTCCTTTCTCTTCACTGAAGTGATTACTTGCCAACAATCTGCTGGATAGATCACTGAAGTCTTCACCAGTTACACATTCCAGTCCTCCAGTGTAATTTGTGATTGCTCCCAAGGAACACAGTTGCAAACAGTTCATTTTTCAAGGCTAGAGAAGTCTGGTCCTCCTTTGCTGTAATTTCCAGAAATTTCTGCCCCGCTGAAGTCAAATCCAGGGTTCTGACAGAGACAAAAATTTAGTATAAAGATTATTCTTAACAGAACTGATACAAAGAAAAAAATAAAATAATGTTTCTTTTCATATTCTACCACTCTAACAAGGACATACAGGTACAACTTGTTAACTGGATTATTAACACTGAAATTCTTTTGCCAGGCGAATGCGTTAACCAACATTAAATTGCCACAGTTGAGTTGCCCACTGCTGAAATTCCTTTGTAATGCCATTCTTCATCAGGCGAGCACTTAGATTTCCTAGTGAAGAAATATTAAGAAAACTCTAAGAAAATTCTCTGGCTTTTCACATGCCTTGAAATTACAACTTTAGAGGCAAAAAAAAAAAGTACCCCCATGCTAGATAAAAACTCAGATATAAATTGTCATCTTTGTTGTAGTGCTGATTCATCTATTAAGTTTCTGAAAGAGCAGAGCTGAATAGGAAGAGCTGGGTACTAGAGGTGTGTCAGAATAACTTAAGCAAGTTTAGTCAAAGGGCAGAGCAATTTTGAGTTAACTAGTTTCAGTCACCCGATGTTATATACAAACTATTGAACAGAGTAAGATGTTAGAAGTTTATTATACATAGAGTTATGTCATAGTTCAAGATAATAACAGAAATATATGTATGCTATCATTAGTGAAAAGTTGTTACAATTACGGATCAAAACCTTAAAACACCACCCTGCAACTCGCTTGATTTTTCACAAATTCTTCACACAGGCTACAGACAGAAGAGCCTCCTGAAAGCACACAGACATACTGAGTCACACACATCTCTGTCTCGAAGTACCATCTGCTTCCACGGCACTACACTACAGAACAATTTTACTCAGCTTTCGTGACCATATCCCATATCTGCAAACACCAAACACAAGCAGTAAGTGGGGACCTTTGACTTGCCTCTCTTTGGAATCGCTCCAGCGTAAGTTTCCTTTGCATTTGGTCTTGTACCCAAGGATCAGCAGCGTATTCATTTTCTAACAGAGACGTCCAGCAATTTCCAGCATCTCGATTAGTCTTCATCAGAACAATTCGTATCAGTTTTCGGTCTTCTATTGAATGAAGAGAAAAGAAAACAACCATTAGTGCCCTGTGTGCCAGGCTTTTTGTTACTGTGCTGAATTCACCACCAACATGCCAAAGCACAGGAATTTTTCTGAGATAGTTTAAGTTCTTAATGTCAAAGGCACTTACTAATAAATAAAAACATGAACAGGAAGCAAAGATAACCTGTACAGCCACACCTCAGTTTCTGACCTACAAAACCTAACAGTTGTTTTGTGGAACCATTATGGTGCACCTCTATTCCAAATAAAACCTTTGGGAGAGGTCTGTGATGGAGAAAAGATTTAGGGTCAGACATAGGATGAGATATAGATCAGCCAGGGGAATAACCAAACATTTAAAGCCAAGCTCTACAGAAGGTTATTACTTGTAAAAGCCACCATTACTATGATGAGGAGTCGCTGTCAGTCATTTTGCACTTAGGATTTCTGATGGAAATCCATCAGAAAATAACATGAATAGGTACAGTCATTATGTATGGCTTTCAAAAATCAAAGCGTTACGAACACTTTGCAATATTTATCAAATAATTAGAGAGGCTTTTTGCTCTTTATCTTTAAGCACCATCACTTGATTTTCTAATTGCTTTTTGATGCTTTTGGACTGTAGGTGTTGTCACCTATCCCAGAAATATAATGCACAAATTAGAAGGGAAAAAATAAGAAAAATAAAAGTTGCAGAAGCACACAGCTGTACTGCTCTAACTTTGGAGTGTACGTGCAATCAAACTTTTAGCAATCTATTTCCTGAGAAGTGAATGTTCGTTCCCAGGAAAGTGTTCCTAAGCCATGGGATACTGCGTTCCCACACCTGGCACTTTTGCATTACTATTAACTTCAGACTTTTGCACTACCTTAGTTTCTTAGCATGGCAATACGACTGTCCCTTCATACAACTACAGACTGAAATACAATAAGAAGAAACAAGGAAGAAAATGAATGGGAGGGGGCAGTGCTGGTAAACTCTTCTGCAGCACGTTTTGCGTTCTACCACCCCCCCAGATGTCACCTCAGATAAAGGTCATTACCTAAAGTCCACGTTCCTTCATCAGCTATCGTAGAGTCAAAAAGTTTACCCTGCAAAGACATTGACAGCATTACAGAACAGGAAAAGCAGCTCAGCCACAAGCTTACCTATAATCGTACCGCCCTACACACTGCTAGCCTGATTGTGTTCCACCTCAAAGGAGAAAGGCACCAATTCTCTGCCCATGTGGGCTTGAACATTATTAGAGACATACTCGTTTATTGCACGTTATTTATTTATTTTAACGGAATATTCGATACATAGAATCGCCCATCGGCCTGCCGGTGTCTCACCGCACAGCTCAGGGCGCTCTGGAGTCGTGCCCCCCATAGCGAATCTCCGGACAAAACCTCAGGGCAGCGCTAAGGCTACGCCGGCCCGCGGTGCACCGTAAGACCGCAGCCACACGAACCGCCCCTCCCGGCCCGCCGCTACCTGCAGCACCTCCCGGCCGCACACGGACAGCGCCACGCGCCGGCTCTGCAGGCTGCAGCTCACATCCTTCGCCCGCGTGCCCGGCGGCACCTGCACCTCGATGAACACCTCCTCCAGGGTCTGGTACCAGCGGCCCCACGGCGTCCCGCAGGGCACCACCCCGCTCCGCTCCTCGAACGGAGCCGACATGTGACACAACGAACGCCGACCACCCGTTCCGCCCCGACCCGGAAGTGAGGCACGCGCGTGCGCACAGCCCCACCACCCTTCTCTTTCCGATCCCTTATTCTGCAACGCGCATGCTCCAGAAAAGGAGCGCTGATTGGCTGAGCCGGCCCGGAGCTGGAGGAGCCGATTGGCCGCCCGCAGTGCGTGGCGGCGGACGTTGATGCCTTTGAATGTGGGGAGCGGCGCGCAGTTCTGTCAGCAGCCATGGCGTCCCGTAGGGCTCCGCTGCGGCGCTTCAGCGACGAGCCGGGTACGTGCGGGGTCCCGCCGTGACGCTGTGCGGGGTGGCGGTGGGGAGCTCTGTGGCTGAGCGGGAGTTCAGAGCCCCTTGGTGCTGCGTTGTGTCGCCGCGTGCATCTGCGAGCGGGTCTGGGTCCTGCGCTGCGCTACAGGTGAAGCTCCTGGCTTCAGCTTCAGTGCTGTAGAAGAGCAGCGCTTCCCTCCGCCAGATTTTTATTTTTTAAATTTATTTATTTTAAAGCACGTGTAGCTGTTATATTTTATTAACTTCAGTTCCAACGAGTTGAAACCTCTGTCACTTTCCGTACTGCTTTTCTCCTGTTCTGCGTATCATCCATAGCGTGCAGCTTGCTCCGAGGCTCCTGTGACACCAAGTCTTCAGCTGCCCCGAGGAGCTCTTCATCCTCTGAAGCAGATCAGCGCGTTAGGAAACGGAACAGTGAGTAGCCCTACAAGCTGTGCCGCAGTACTTCTGAACGCTGCACTTGTGAATGTCTGTGTGCTGCTACTGCTTCGTTCTTTTCTTTCAAGCTTTGTTGGTTCCTTTCTGCAGCTCGTTGCGTTCCTTCCAGATGTAAGAACATGGCTGTTCCAGTTTTTTTTTCTATGAGCCGTTTTATATGTGATCTCTACTGATTGGTGCAGTCTGTGCTTTAAGATACATGGTTCAAGGACTTCACTAGATTTGCCTCTAGTGATATTTTCATGTTTGGTTTTTTTTTTTCTTTTATACGTAAAAAGTCCTTTGGTTGAAGCCTGGTAGTGTGAATCTGGATGGAGGGTTTAAGCTTGGCAGAAGCTAATTTCTCAAAAAGGGCTTTTATCTAGAAGTCAGTCTCTGGACTTTGTTGTGTGCCTAGCTGACTAACACTGACTGCTTGAGTGCATTAAGAAAGCAGCTGGCTTTAGGTTGTGAGGTGGGTAGTCTAATAATCAGATAGCTTTTTGTCGCTGGTATAACAAATTAATTGTTTTTGTCTACCTTGGTGAAACTTTGTTAACTGTATGCATTCACACCCTTTTTCTTCACTGTTCTTTATCCTCCTGCAGGTGAAACAAGTTTGAATGATGAGAAGAATACAACTGCCTCTGGAGCTGGGAGGAGACTTGCATCTCTTGGATCACTAGTAAGATTTTTCTGTGGCATCTGCAGCACTGAGGTTAAAACCTCAGTGTGTTCATTTAAACCATGCACATCTCTTTTATACAATCACTGTTTACTTATCTATGTAAAATATGAAGCACATTATTGTGCCTGAATTCCATAGTAACAAAGGAGAGAAAGATAGGTAAGTGGATTTTTGGGATCACATGATGAATGATTGAGCTTACAGAGTGGCTTGTTGGCTTTGCAGAGTGCCTACACGATATTTTCTAATGAAACTGTGGATTGGGGTTTTTTTGTTTGTTTTACGATTGTGTTTATTTTATTTGCTTTCTTGCTCAGCATAGAACTATAACAAAGCTGCTTCTCTTAAAATCTTGTTTCTGTTTCTTTCACGTGGTGGCTAGACCAGAGCATGCACTTGATGGAGGAAGAAATAAAGGGGGTTTATAAAGAGGGGTTCTCAGTTCAATCTGTAAGGCTGGAGATTTGAAGATAGATAGGTTAATGAGTTGAATAATAACTTACTAATTCAGTTCATTAGTACTTAGGATATAGGAAGAAGTTTTGTGAGCCCAGCTGCATTCAAGAGGTTAGTGTGGTGTTATGTAGCTGAAGAGATGTGTATGTCTCATGCCTTCTTAGTCTGCTTCCCATTGCAATGGCTGGGAGCTGTCCATTCAAGAAGGCACAGCAGTACAGCTGGTCCTCATCTGTCCTATCTGTAGGAGAGTTTTTTTCTTTTGTTACTGTTTCTTTAATAGTGTTGTCTATGTTTAACTGTTGCTGAACTAATATTTTGCTAGACATCAGTTAACATGTTTGTTTTCAACAGCCAGTTAGTGGGAGTCTGAAGCCTAGAAAAGATCTTATCCTTATGAGGGAGAAAAAGAAACAGAAGACACTGGAGAAAGAGGTATGAATAATCACTGAATTGCATTCACTTAATGTTGGCTGCTTTCCAGACTTAAAAAGAGAAGCTGGCGTGATTTGCTTCTTTTACATAACATAGTGCACAAGTGCTCTACACAGAGCAGAGATTATCAGATGTTATGGTTTGTAGAACACATTGGGCTTGTTAATGGAATGGAATTGTATTAATTCCTGCTAATCCCGAGCAGCTGTGCAGCTAAACCATGTTCTTAACAGAAAATAAAGGAATCTCGTCCTATGTTTTCTACTGCTAAAAAGGGTTTGCTATTTAACAACTCTTTTTAAAAGTCTTGCAGTTTTTTTTCCCCTCAAAAACTGCTATAATTTTCAAGTTTAAGACGCAGCTAGCTTTTCCTTTCAGTACAGGTCTATGTACTCATATCTACTCTATTCGTCTCAGATGTCACATCTCCTTGGCTTGAAAACAGACACGTATTCTCTCACAAGTCAAAGACAAGACTAACTCAAATTACAGTAGGCCAGTAGCACACAGTAAGACAGTTGAGAGTTAGAACTACAGTTGTGTGGCATGTAAAAAAAAATAATTCTGCATAATATCCTGTCTGAATGACAAAATTGAAGATCTCAGTTCTGAATGTAAGCCAATACAGTTCAGATAATCAGCCTTTTCAGGAAAACAGCAGTCATAACTTAAGGATTTTAAGAATAATATCATAAAATAGAAAAGACCACTTGTTATGTTCTAGATTCGTGCATTAGTGAGAGAACGTGGAGAGCAGGATAAAAAACTTCAGGCCCTGGATGAAGACTTTGTTAAGATGGAAGCTAAGCTGAGTGCTGCAGTTCAGGAGAAAACATCTCTTCTGGCAAATGTTGCTTGCCTGAAAAAACAGCTTCTGGAATTAACAAGAACCAATGAACTACTAAAATCTAAGGTATTCATACAGATGCTTATTTGCTCTGACTTGGTTGTTACTAACTTCCCTGGTCAAGAGTAATCTTCCCCATTGACACGTTTTCTGCACCCCTTCATTGCCTCACGTTCAGAGCGTGTCTTGTTTGGGACAGGGTGTGTCAGTGTGAGGACAGAGATGGGTGTGCTACCATCACTGACTGGGACACGTAGAGATCAGTGTTGTGGGTGGGAGGAAAATACTGAGTGTTAAAAGTTTAAAAGACTGAGTGTTTCATATGAAGGTGTTATGCATACTGTTTTTTTTTATCAATCTCTAATAAGCTATCTGAAGATAGTGTGCAGAAGAAAATGAGCAGTCTATGTATGGAGTTAATGAAGCTCAGAAACAAGAGGGATGCTAAGGAGAAGGTAAGCTGTTTTATACTGCACAGGATTGATCTGTTCAGGAACTACCAGTGAAGAGCTTGCAGCAGTTCTGCTTTTTTTTTTTTTTTTTTTCCCTGTCCTCAACTCAAAATTTTCTGCTTTCCATTCAGTGGAATTAGGAAGGACAATCGATAACGAATGTTCCTTATTTTGCTGTTGATATGTGAAGTTCCTCTGAGCGAGGAACTCTAGAAGTACTTGTTTAAGTATCAGTTTGGTCAGGTAACTGATGTATTTGAAAAGCAGTAGCCTTAAATGAGCTCTTAGCCATGGTATGGGAACTGCTGAGTCACGGCCTGAGCCACTGATGGAGCACCTGGGAAAAGGACCTGGTCAGCCCTGGGAGCACAGGTGAAGGCAACTCAGCTGTGTGACCAGAGGGGCTGCAGACTGGCTGCACCTCTCTTAGACCTCATTTAAGGGAGGAATGCCACTGGGGAATGTTCTCTGGTTGGAGATCCCTTCTTTGTGGAGTTTTCACTGCTACCTAGAATTTTCTGATACAGGTGAGCAATCTTCCTTTACTTTATAGCACCTTTCTGTCATGCTGGTCCTTCTGTCATCACATCTCTGTTGCAATGCCTTTCCTATTGTATTGATCTGTCCAATTGCTACAGCTGTGCGTGGGTTTTCTGGGTTGTGCATGTCTGTAGTTATAGTGAACAGCTAATGTATCTGCAGATGGGTTATTTGAATATAGGAGTCACATTTAGCATAGCAGCTAGTACTGTAGTTAAGTCCTGTTTATGGTTTAATTAAGAATTAATATGGCTCTAAGAAAACGGACTTTGTTCATACTAAATTCAGTTCTGGTGGTAACACTCATCTTTTTCCAGACTGCACTTGCAAAGCAGGAGAACATGGAAATGAAGCTGCAGGAAGTTCAAAGGAATTTGGAACATTCAAAAGGAAAAGTAGCACAGTTACAAGAAAAGCTGTAAGTAGTAAGGAAAGGAACGGAAGTAGCAATGTAACTATTGTACTGAAGCATGTAGCTTAAAGAAAAAACTAAGGCCATCCTTCTGTTGAGAGGAAACAGAGATTAACAGTGGCCTGAAATTAGTTTTATGGAAAGATGTTTGGATGATGGCCACTGGAAAATTTTCCTTATATGAAAAGCAAATTTTTTTTTCCTTTTGTTCTCCTCTACTGTCTGATTGCTTGAATGTGGGCAGATGCTTTGTATTTATCTTTGTGTTTTTTAACTGTAATCTAATAATGAAGGTAATGTAATTGATGAAAGGAGGCAATGATACTTTGTCTAGCTAATGCAGCCTGTCTTATATACTCAGTTGTGGTAAAATGTACTACAGCATCTTTAGTGCAAATGGAAGCATCAGCCACACCACACTTGATTATGGGAAGAATGTGTTAGTATTAAGTAGTGATCCAGTGACTGATTTTTAGTTGTTTACCTGTAAACAAGTAACCTACAAGTAACTCTGAAGTGTTTAAATAGCGATAGGGAAAGTGTTCTGATTTTTTTTTTTTATTATTATTATTATTATTTATTTTTATTTTTTAGATCTGCTACAGAGAGAGAGAAAGTGGATGATAAGTCTGACACTGAAAAACTCCTGGAATATATCACAGAGCTTGGGTAAGAATTGTTCTTGAACTGGATTGGGTACATTAAAAGGCAGCAAAATAAAGCTTTGTTTTTCTTGGTGAAGCAGAAGTTTGGGAACAATTCTGCTTAACAGTAATAAGAGCGGGGGGGAGTGGTTATCCTTCCATGTAAATGGGAGGGACTTAAAAGATGTGCCCACGTTTAGAAAGTTATTTGTATATGTATACAAAACTCAGCTTTTATTTTTATTTCCTCTGAGTTACTAAAAATTATGTATTGGAGGCATCACTTAAAAAAAAAAAAAAGTGAACCTGGCAGTTTTCTGGTCTTTGTTTTATAGCTGTGATGAATTATCCATGTTGCTGGTGCTTGAGGAGAATATCAGTTTGACTGTAAACACTACCAGTTTAGTGCTGTGTAACAGGTGGAAACACTACCCAGCTCCTCAGTTATGTGTACCTAGTCCAGAAAACTGAAAACACAAAAGCATTCCAATTTAGTTCACTTAAGTCTGAACATTCCTTCTCCCTCAGTGTCCCACTTCTGCCTATTTGCTCAGTTAGAGGCTCCTTGTGAGCTTGCCTTAAGTTCAGATTTATTGTGAAGTCTGGTTTATGCAGAAAAGTGTATGCTTTTCTGTCAAAACTCATCTGCCTGTATAAAAAAAAAAAAAGGTAATGACAGTAATCATCTGTAAATGAAGTATAGTAACTAGTTCTGTTTTTAATTGAAGTGCACATTTTAAATTAGAAGCTTCTCTTAGAATACAGATTTTAATATCAATTGCATTTAATTTTAAATGCACCTGTTTCTAAATCAACCTGTTTTAATGCTGCAAAATAAGCCTAAGTAACAAAAGGAAGCTTTCCTGCTGAAAAGGAACAGCATTCAATATTCCAAGCATCTCTCATTTGTGCTGAATTAAAATCTTGAAGTTATGGTAACAAATGTTGTTCTACAGGAGTGTTGCAGAAACTGTAGAGAAATATAAACTAAATGTTGCTCAAATGGAGGAGACACTGATCAAGAAAGAGCAAGACGTGAAGATTCTGAGGGATACACTCAGAATGAAAGAGGAAGAATCAGATACGCTGCTCAGAGCACTTAATGAACGGTGTGAGTTTCTAGAACAAGAAAAAGGTAATTGCTAGTTTTGGAATGCTGTTAACATAGTTGGGACCACATAGACATCCTGTAAAAAAGTTTGTCTAAAATGCCAGTGCAGATTTTAAGTGAAGTCATGTCTCAGCTTCAGCTGTGACCAGACCAGCGCGTATGGAAACAAGTCTGAGTCTTTATTTCCATGGAGACATACTGAAGTGAACAGTATAATGATGAAAACTGTTTCAATGCTGGTCTTCAATCAAAAAGTTGAATGTTTATTCCTTTTGCTTAATAATTAGTACTATACAGCTTTATTTCACTGTTAGTAGTTTACACACAAGTTCACAGCAGTACTGACAATATGTCCCGGGGCTCTTTTTCACTGCTGCTCTCCCAACTCCACCCCACTCCTCAGAACTCTGAGTGAATCATTTAGCAGGTTTTCCCCAGCTGTACCATTTTATTTGATAAAAGCTAATTGATTGAGATCAAGTTTGCTGTTGTTCAAGCTTAATTAGAAGTGGGATTCTTTCAGCTGGTTTTGATGAATTTCCAGATGGGTAAATTATGAGGTGGGTTTTTTCCTTGCTTGACTAACTTTAAAGCCAGAATAATAGAACTATCAAGAAAAGATGTTGTGCTTCTTTGAAGACAGAGAAGGCATTACCTGTTGCACTGATGCTAACTCTATGCAGAGAGAGAATCGTCTGAGAGCAGAGGAAAAGTCCTGAGTATGAATGCTGAAATAGAAGAACTGAAGAACAAAGTTCTCATAGAAGAGCAAGAACACCAAAAACTACTTGAGAAACAAGAGGAATTAATGTCTCAACTTCAGCAAGAAAAGGTAAACACAGACTCTAGTCTGAAATACTTTAATCCAAATAACTGAGACTAAGTGTTCTGATTTTTTTTTTTTTTTTTTTGGTTACACATGAAGTTTTTATATTTCTAAAGATTAAATCTTTAGAATGTAGAAGTGGGTGCTGGTTAGCAGAAGCTGTGTGCTCTTCTTGGAATAACAGCTGTTGTACAGTAGTTCTAGTTTGCCCATTTGCCCTTCTGTGCTTTAAAGATTGCAAAGTAGCCTTTCATTCTTAAGAAACTATCAGTAGTTTTAAACCCTGTGATACTCTGCAGGAATCGTCTGCATCTATGCACCAGAAGTTACTCAATCTTCAGGATGAGGTAACGAGTGAAAGATATCTCTTGGAAGAGGAGTTGAAGAGTGCAATGAATGAGCTGGACAAACTACATGCTAAGGAGAAGAAAGCTGAGAAGCTGGTGAAGCTGTTGGAAAAAGAAACCAAATCTAAAGCCCTTGAACTTGCACAGATGGAAGTGAAGTTAAAAGGGTTTGTGAAATGAACTGAGTTTAAAGCTATAGAAAGAGAAAAGTGGAATCAGCAATGTACACAAAGCTTTTGAGCCTCATTCAGGCTTTAAAGAGACCTGAACGCATATAAGCTTTTCTTGCTGTTGATTAATTATGGCAGATAGGTTTTCTATCCATATGAGTGATTTATTATAAATTATCTTAAAACTGTTTAACATGCTTGAAGTGCCAATACTGTAGTAATGTGAAGTTACTGTTAAATGTTAGCTACATCTGAGTTGTATTAGATATTTATACCCTAGACAGGGCAATTGCTAGGAAAGATTTTTTTTCGAGCAAGTTGTTGTTTGTGTTGATGTATTGAAAGCTTACTAGCAGGCAGTAAATCTATTCCATGAATATTTTGGAAGTTAAAGAGTGTGGGGTAGTGTTTAGTTAAAGCTGCTAAGTCTGAAGATTGTGCTTTAATTCATGAGAAGTTGTGACAGGATACTGGTATGTCAGGATTAATATATTGCTGCTCCTGCAGGCTTTCTGTAATTGATAATAGCATTTGGTAATGTGTTCAGACATGCTTATGTCCAGCATGAAATGCTGAATGCTTGTTTCAGGAAGAATGCTGAGTTGGAGCAAATCAAGGAAACGCACAGCAATGCAGTTCTGCAAATCCAAGAAGAGCTTAACAGCACGCTGCGTAAACTGGGGGAGAATGTTGCTGAGTTTGAAAGGTATTTCAGTTCCATTAAAGATTAGGGCAGTGATTTTTTTTTTTTTTTTAATTAGAATTACAATTATATACGCTGCTCATTTATGAGCAGTGTTTTTTTGTGGTGGATTGTTTGGTATTAAGCTATTTATTTTGAGTACCAGTCAGTTATAATGACATGCTCAACAATCGGGAAGCTGTGGATGTTTCTACCAAAGTCTAATCAAGCACTCAAGTGCTCTCCATTTTCAATGATAGTCTTCAGCAGTTGCAGCTATCTCTGTGCTCTGAAATAACTTGCAGAAAGCCTTCCTGATTCAGTGCAAGTTTTGAGACTTAACAAGGTTTTTTTTATCCTACAGCTCTTGCAAACCTTCTCAAAATATTGAAGTAGTACATTGATAAGGATGCAAGGCATCCCACAAGTGTTGATGAATCTTTCAGATGTAGTCAGTCTTTCAGTGTTTGTTTTCACCAAAGCACGAATGATCCATAGTATTCCTGCTTAAGGCTTTATGGGTTTATACTTAATCTATATTTTGTCTAAAGTGGCAATACTTATCTTTGCACTGTCATGGCAGCTACAAGACAACAATAGCTGAAGAAATACGCAGTCTTAAACTGGAGAACACTTCTCTGCAGGAGCAAGTTGCTGACCTGAAAAAAATATGTGAAGATAATCTACAGCTGCTCCAGGAAGCAGATTACACTAAAAACAAGGCAAAAGAAGAATGTGCAAGGTATTGGGCTGACAAACTTTTCCTCTACCTAAGAATACTAGCCAAGGCTTGCTTGCCTTCTGCACTAGAAATTATCAGTTTTATCCAATAAAATGAGTACTCGGTGTAGCCTTAAATTTTTTTCATTTTCTCAATTCATAGGTTTGAAAATACTGATAGACAAAGTGAATTAATATTTTATTAATTAGTAAACTAATTGATTCAGTTAATTACTAAGTAGCTTTCCTTCACGTGGACCCATAGGTGAAAGTTGAACTGGTTCTGTTGGAATGTTGCTCTTAGAAATATCAGTTACATTGACTGTTCCACAAATGAACAAGCTCTATGGAGCAGATGAGCAAATATTGAATTTGTATGTGATGATCTACTACTGCTTTCTGAATTGTCTGTCATCTCAAATTCTGCTTACAAGCAGATGCTGCTTAACAGATTACTACCCTGCAGTGAAAGAAACCAAAGACCTTCCTTTGCTTAGTGTGCAGCTATAAGTAGCAAAACCAGCTGTTGTCTTAGGCCAGTTATTGTGGATGTGCTTCTCTCACCAGCTAACTGCAACTTAGTGATTCAATATTGTCCTTACAGCTCACTGTGACAGACTAGGTATAAGTCTGCTGTTGTGGGCAACTAACTGATGATTGGAGGATGTTAGAGAGTTGGGTGTCAAAAGGTTCCAGTATACAAATGCCAGTATTAGGCAGCCCTGGTAACTGCTTGTACGTTAGGGAAGAACATATTGTGTGTGTGCTAGCCTCCCTTCCCCTTTTCTCTTAATGCTCCTAGCTAGCTCTTAAAGCTGAGGTTGGGTTTAAGCCCACAATTACACTTCAGTCTTTCCAGCCATTCCATGAATCAACTTTCCTGACTTAAAAAAGCATTTCTGTAATGCTTTTGCTGTCTTGTTTACCCTTAGCCACAATATTAAGGTTAACCAGAGCACAATCATAATCGTACTTGCTCCAACTTATTTCAGAACGCTTTTGCTACTTAAGGTGTTGTCCTTTTTTTCCCCAGCTGCTTGATATTTCCTCCAGTTTCTATTTGAGTTGTGGAACTTTTTTGGCTTGTTGTCTTAATTATTAAAAAAGCTGAGGAATTATTTTTTGAGTTGGTCATAGTAGACTGGCAGGAAAAGGATTCTTAGTCTCTACCTAGATGGTGCAATGAACAGCTGAAGTAAGAGAAGGAAAGCAGTGTATTAGAGAACTTGGAAATCCTTGGGAGTCATCCACACTACTTGAATAAACTCGTGTGTGCAAGTCTAACTAGCCAGGTATCTTTCACTAATAGTTGCTAATACTTAACAGTAATAAATACAAGAAAAATAATGTTGCCTTGCTTTCAAAAGACAGCTTCCTTGTAGAAGTTAAACTGTAGGTCTTGAGTTTGAGTGTTTTCTGTACTATATTTCTGTCTTAGAGTAATGTTAGTACAAATCTTAATTTCATTTACTTCAGAAACAGCTTCTGAATGTGGTGAATATTGTTTTTACATTTAGCTTTATTTAATTTTAAGTTACTCTGAAGATGTTTAATTGGACTTCACTAAGGGTGGGTTATGTTTTCATTAGGATGATTTTAGAAGCCCAGACAAAGCTTGCGCTAAAAGAAGCAGAAGCAGAGAGAACAAAAGAGTCTTGCCTCATACAAGTGACAAAACTACAGGAAAAACTGGAAGAGTTAACTGAAGATCTGAGAAAAAAATCTGAAGTGGAAAAATCAAGGTGACTTCTGTGAAGCTGAATTTGGGTATTGCAGCACACTACAGTAGGAAGGTGTGCTGAGAGCTAATAGTAAAAGTGATGCAACTTTACTTTTTGTTTCTTAGGAAAACCATACATGAAGACATGACCTCTAGCTTAAAAGAAGAGATAAAGACCTGGCGTAATCTATATGAAGAACTGCATAACAAAACTAAGCCCTTCCAGGTGTGTAAGGAAGTCAATTCTCACTGGTATCTTGTTAATATTTATGTGGTTGAATCAAGTTCTGCTCTTGATAAATAAATAGGCTATTTCTTCATTTGAAGGCATTTATTCTGCAGTGTTTTTGTAAGTTAACATCCCTTGAGACAGTTGTTTGCCTTTCCAAACCATTGTCTGTACTTGCAGATCTCCATTTGGGAGGAAGGGTGTAGTGGGGGAAACAAAAAACACTCAAATTTAATTTCTATTAAATGTACTATATATTTCAGCAACAACTAGATGCATTTGAAGCAGAGAAAAATGCTCTTCTAAATGAGCAAGGTGCAGCTCAAGAAGAACTGAATAAACTAAGTGAAGCGTATGCTAAACTACTTGGCCACCAAAACCAGAAACAAAAAATCAAGCATGTTATGAAGTTGAAGGAAGATAATACCCATCTGCAGCAGGTTTGTCAAATAAGTTAAAAATGGAGAATTCAACTGTTTGCTTGATTGTTTTCTTATGCTAAATCCTCCAAATTCTTGCAGGCTAATTCTGCAGACTCTGTTTTCTGTAGTTGTTGATTTCCCTGAATGAGTTAGTTTAGAATAGGCCATCAGTCTCCAGAACAGCAAGGGGATCTGTTAGCATTAGATACACAACATACAGAGGTATCTTTCCTATTTTTCTTGATCTAACTCCTGAGTATTTTTTTCTTCAGGACATCTCGAAACTGCGTGCACTTCTTGCAAAAGAGAAACAAACAAACAGAGATCTGCAGGAGCAGCTATATACAATTCAGGGCATTAGGCGTTTTGATCCTTCTAAAGCTTTCCAGCATGATAGCAAGGAAAATATTCCTCCAAAAACTCCTTTTAAAGAAGGTAAGCATGGATATTCATAAACTTGGTCCTTGTGTATCTTAAATGTATCCAAAAAAGATATGCTAGTCTTGCTCAATGTACCCTACTGGGAAATGAAGGAGGTGGCACATGCTGTATTTCACAGCAGGTACTGGAGGCTACAGCTGTGTGGGATCTTCTCAGTGGGTTTTTTGCCACTGCACTTTCTAGCCTTGGTTGTTTTAACCTGAGATCTATTTGAAGTCAGACAGGAAAGCTTGCTTGATGTTGAGAAGTGGGTTCTGGAGGGTCAAGTGGTTTATGTGATATTGCAAGATGCGAACCTAATTATCCTGCTGTTTGTCACCTACTAACACTCTTCTCACAGCTTACCTGCTGTGTCAAGCACTACTTCTTACAAGAGCAGCAAGAGTAAGGAGGGCTCAACTAGATGTCTGAGCCCATCTTTTCGAGCTGCTACCTTACAGAGCCTTATCCTGCTGTAGCTGTACAGGTAAAAGGCCTATAGGTAAAAAATGGCAAGAGTGCAAAAAGGGAAGCAGACAAGGAGAGAGAAGCAGCAATTAATTTCAACTAGGTCTTCACTTCAGAATGTTTCAGTGTCTGAAATCATGGTCTTGCCTGTTAGGTGGTATCTAGTGCCTCCCTCTCCCCTACCAGACAAATATCTGCTCAGTTTGGAGGGAGCAATTGTGCAGAACAAAAACTCAGTGATGTTTTTCTTTTGCAGGCAATAGAAACAAAGTTTAGTCTCTTCTCATTGTTGAGAAAAGTATTACCAATGTACACAAGTACTGCAGAAGATTTCAACAGACTGTTCAAGATGAACTTGGCTGCCATCTGTAATAGACACTGCTATGAATGCTTGGGATGTGATTTTATTAAAAAAAAAAAAAAAAAGCAATCAATTTTCAGAAAACTACTTGGCCGTACTCTTACTTGAAGGCATAACTGGTATGTTCCAGATTCCTGGTACTACCACTATAGCTGTCATTGTTTGACTTGCTTTGTTTTCTGAAGGTACTCAGTTTGAACTCAAGCTGCCCTGTTGAAGAGAAGGTGGATAATCATTAGGCAAAAGGGATGACAAACAAAACATGCCTTTGTGAATGTTATTTTGCAACTATTGAGTTTCTGCAGTTTGTTAAACTAATTTTGCTGGTTATGGTTGCTTTGATGCCAAGGGCAGAAATGATTTCTAAAAACCCTTTTTCCTTTGTGGCTTATGTAATATAGACCAAATGTAAAAACTACATTGTGTAGTTGGCATGGATATTTTTAATGGGATCCATATTTAAGGTGTAGTAACTTCATTCCTGGGACTGGATAATGCAACTCTTCTCAGAAAAAGATTTCCAGGTAAAACTCAAAACAGCTGCTTTGTCCGTCTAAATGTTTGTATCATGTGGCTCAGATAAGTGTCTTAAGGGGAGTTTGTTTTACAGATGCTGTACTCGCAAGACTTAAATTGTCATGGTCATTTTAGTTGTCTATCTTAGCTGATCTTATGTGAAAGAGAATACTAACAGAACTTGGTTTGAGTGAGAGGATGCCCACTACACACTTGATTGTGTAGAACTGTTCTTGGCAAGGTGGAAGTAATCTGTTGAAATGCATCAAAAATCAAGGATATTTTAGAATAAATATTTCCAATGATGTTTTGTCTTTGTCCTTTGTCAAGAGATGAAAACCAAAATCAGATGATGTTGTAAATGACCTAGTGTTCCAAACTTAAATCTTCACAACAGAACTCACTGTCAGTCTTGCCTGAAGGACACTGCAGTTTTCTAACCTTACTGAAAAAACTATTCAGTTGAACTGCATGTTGTATGTGACTTGCAAATCCCTTATTCTCTCACTTCCTTTGAATTTCTATTAGTACAGAAGTAATGGAACTGAAGTGAAATGTGGAACTGCTTTTGCTAATAGCATGCATTACTGTCTTGTACACGGGTGCTGCAATGTACACAACTTGAGGTATTTAAACTGACACCACAAGGTTTTGAAGCATGGGGTACTGAGAAAAGATGTGTATTAAGTCTAAGGAAGTATGTGGATAGATCTGGTAGCTAATGCAATCTTTGTGTGTTTGCTGTGCTATTTGAACTTCTGAAGAGGAGGATTAAATTGGCAAGATTCAATTTACACATACAAATTTGCAATGTAGGAGCTTTTCTGAAGCACAGAGTTACTTGAATGAAGAACTTGAGAGAATTTCAGAGTGTCAGGGTTCTCAGTCAGACTGGAGAAAATTATAAAGCTAGCTGGTTTTGTTTGGCTTTTTTCTCTAAAAAGCAACTCTGTGAATGGAGTAAAAGAAACCTACGGACGATGGGGGCCTGGGCTGCCTGTATTAAATGTATTAATCTGGTAGTAAATGTGGAGGTTGATGGCCCTGCATGTGGTAGGGGGGTTGGAGACTGGTGATCCTTGAGGTCCCTTCAAGCTTGGCCATTCTGTGAACTGGTGTAGTCTTACTTGATGGTCTTTGTAGAAATTGCTGTGTTAAGTAATCTTGTACACCTAACAGTGACTGTGGTAAGGCACATGGTTAGGCCATGCTGTCTGTGAGCAACACTGCAAAGAGTAACGGGGTGGGGGAGAAATCTGTAAAACATGACTGAAAATGGAAGAACTCAGGCAATGTGTGATGATACTACGTGAGGGACTTTGTCTTAGAATAGAATTATTTCATACAAGGTTGCTGGTGCTTGCCTACCTGCTCAGGTAGGCTACACCAAAGGGGATTTCCAAGGTAAAATTTCTGTTCATAAACCAGAAAGCAAAAAGCTGGTGGAAAAACCCTGACAAAAACAAGCGCTTTCAGTTATGTAAGCTAGCCTTTTATTTCAAGAGATTAAGGCAAGTGAATGTTATTTGAAGGCTCTAGGAAGCTCAAGCAAAGAAATGATAGCATTGAATTAATGTAGCTTTTTTGAAATGTACATGTTATGTCATGTTAGCTGAAGATTGCCGAAGGGCAAAAACATAGCAAGTCCAGTATTGCAGGGGTACCTTTTTTGTGTGCCTCGATGGTTAAAGCTTTCTACCCTGATTGGCATTTTTGCTTACGTCCATTTTAAATCCTTATTAAACTATGAACAGCATGTTTCACACGGGCAAAAATAAGAGCAACTTTCAAATGATTGGGACCTAGTTGGTAAAGCAGTGCCAGGTTTTGTTGGGTTTTTTTGTGTTTTTTTTTTTTGTGTGTTTTTTTTTTTTTTGCTTTAACTTGAAAATATGAATATGGAGTGTAGAGCAATTGTGTAAGTGGTAAAGGAGGAAGCCGCTGGCCTTGGAGATCTTTCCTGTCCTCTATGAAAAAGGATAAGGAGAGCGTTGAAGTGTGCAGTGGTTGAACCTGGTTATGCTGCTGTTCCCATGATCCTACCGAGCAGCTTAAATGGAGCTAGCGGGAAGAAAACAAAGCATAGTAGGATTCAGATCTACACGTGATGGGTTTGGGATTAGTGCCCTGGTTTGAAAGGTCAACGGAGCTGTTGCTCCTTTCGCTCCATGTGCTCTCTGCAGACAAAAGCAGAGAAAGGTGCAATCGCTGCCCTGTCTGGTCATTCCTCCGGAGGTCATGCCTCAAGTGCTGGCGGAACCGGGGCAGGTAAGGTACTGGGCGGTTAGGGAGGAGGATTGCTGCCGTACTCCAGTGTTGCGATTGAAAGGAGGAGAAAGAGGGAAACGGTGTCTGAAATTACAGTATGAAACAGAGTGCTCTAGTCACCTCCTGGGGCGTTGTGCTCACAGGGCTATTACGTGGGTTGCAATAGAGTAGGTACTAATGATTTCACTGCTTCAACGAGGTTAAGTATTATAACCTATTTAAAATAATAATAATAATAATAATAATAATAAAAAGGATGAAAGGTGATACTGCAAGCAGTGATCATGTAAGAGCAACGAAGCTACTCGAAGTATAACGAAGTATAGAACAGGAGGAGAAGTAGCACCTCCCACTGAGTTTGTGCCCCTTGCGCTGCCTCGCTCGAGGCGGCCGCGCCGTTGCTTTCTCTAATCGAAGGCTTCCGCAAGGCGATAAGCAGACCTCGCCCCCACCCCGCCGCCCTTACCGGCATTTCGCCGCCCTCGGCCCCTTTAAGGCCCTTCAGCCACTCAGCGCGCGGCACCGCGCTGCCCGGGGCGGGGCGCGGCGTTGTGAGGGCGCGTCCCGCGGCACGCACGTCCGCCGGCAGCGGCGGCGCAGCGGAGGAGGCCGAGGCCCGGGGGGCTGCGCGCGGCGGCCATGGTGGGCCGCGAGAAGGAGCTCAAGATCCGCTTCGTGCCCGGGCGCTGCGAGTTGGTGGAGGTGCGCGGGGCCGCGCCGACCTCCCAGGACCGCGGCGCCGCTCCCCGTGGGGCGGGCCGCCGTGCGGGTCGCTTCGGTCGGGCCGTGCGGCGGGGCCGGGACGCGCCGCGAGCGGTGTCGGTCGGTCGCGTGTCGGCGGGCGCGGCGCTACCCGAGCGGCGGAGCTTCGCGGCGCCGAACGGCGTCCGCGAGTCCCCGAAGCGTTACGGCCGCCTGGCGGGCCCGCCCCGGCGCCGCGCGGCTGCCCGGTGGTGTTTGACGCGCGTCCGAGGCGGAGCGGCCGCCGGTACCGCACGGCCCGCCGGCAGCGCTGCACGGCGTTGGCCCCGGCCCGCTCTGCGCTCTGGCCGTGCGGGGCGATGTACCGGCGGGATCCCGGGGCTCGCCGCTGTGCAGGCCGCTTGCAGTGGGAGTCGTTCGGCTCGTCGTGGCTCCGTGCCGTCCCGTTCTGGTTCCTTGTGTCGCTTTCCTGCCGGCCGGTCCTGGCTCATGCCTGCGGTTTTTGGAGATCGTACTTTTGTGTTTTGTCTCGTAGTGTTGCTGATCTGTACACGTTACTTCTCGTGTGAGGTTACGCATTCGTGTTGGTCCTGCTGTGTTTTTAGAGCGTGTCTTCCTTCTGGTTTGTGCAGCAAGTCCTTGATGTGAGTGAGCAGATATGCCCTGTCTGCAGAAGCAGCAGTAATCTCTCCTATGAGGCTGAAAAGTTCGTAACAGAGAAAGCAAGCACCATTTCCTTGTTCCCACTTCTCAGAGGCACGCAGGCAGCCCTGAGGAGCAGTCAGCACACTTCTGTTCTCTGATCAAAGTCAATGTAAAGATAGGCATATTTATTTTTTAACATCGTTTGTTGCGGTTTGCCGTTTTCCAGCTAAGAGTTACCCATTTTCACCCAGTATTTATGGAAATAAATAACTTTTTGCCATAATGCTGAGGAGCATAGATGCACGGTGCTGACACAGCTGCTTTGGGCTTGGCTGTAACCATCACACCTCTGCACCTGGCAGGACAGAAAACTTAAGACTCAAAGGGCAAAGAGTAGAGAAATCAGTGCTGCAGTCAGCCACAGGGAGCGTGTTGTGCTGAAACTGTGAGGGTGCTTGGAAGGGAATGGGTTATCTGAGCTGCATAGCAGACTGTTACCAAAAGCATACTCAGCACAGTATCCTTGTGCAGGGTGCAGTTGGGAAATCCAGGATTTGTAGTTCCTGTGTACTTGAGGCTTTCTTTATTGACATAGCAGCATGTGCTTTCATTTTTGTTCTTAGCAGGCTTTTGTTCAACAATATGTGTGGAAGGAAAGCGTGAAAGTGAATAAAGGTTGCACAGACAGCTGTGAGTCAGTGTTTGCAGTCTTGAGGGCTTGACAGTAGTGAGTGATGCTGGGGAGAAAGGAGCTCTATGTGGACCGGTGCATGTGGCCATCCCAAGTACTGAATGTGCTGTGGCTGAAGCAAGGCTTACTTGGTTGTAGAGATTAAGAGATAAAGTAACCTGATTGCTTTCACCTGCCTTTTATTAAGCTAAGACAAGAGCGCAGTCGTTTTGGCTAATTTG